GTGAGAGATGGTGGATTTGCATCTTTCTTTTAAATTTTAGGGTCAATATATAATTTTTTTAATTTTTTTCGTTACAAATGTGACGGTAGGAGTAAAAATGATACGATTTCAAAAAATTTAGTGATAAAATTTAAATTATTCACAATCTAAAGATGTTATTGAAAATTGAAAAAATATAAAGATAAAAATAAAATTCTCTATTAAATAATGCATAGGGATACGTGTTAGCAATTTGCCCAAAAAAATACTCTCAGTCGCGAGTCCGGATCATCTACCACCATTTCCTGCGGCCCTCCCTGCCGCCCGCCAAAACAACGTCGTTTTGAATAAAAAAAAAAAAAATTCCTTCATATTTTTCTTTCCCCATTTCATTTTTGAACCCTAGCCTCTGAGACAGACGAACAGAGAGGTGACGATATGGATGAGAGAGGCAACAATCTGAATGAGAGAGACGAACGAACGATTTAGACGAGAGGGGCGACGAATGGAGAGGGCTGGGGCGACGTGGTTTCCCAGTGAGGTGACAGAGACAAGGCGAAGCGAGGAGAAGCAGTGGTGAGGCGACTGGAGGTGGCGAGAGGCGACGAGAGACGAACAGAGAGGGCGACGAACGCGAGATGGCGACAAGGTCCGTTTCTCTCCCTTTGGTCTTCATTTTATTGTTTGTTTTAGAGACTAAAAATGATAGAATGTGATCCCTGCCCATTTCTCTACCTCTACTTTGATTATTTTTTATATAAAAAAAAAATAATGACATTCACACTCTACTTCGAATTTCACACTATTTTTTGTTTTTTGTTTTGAAGATTAAAGATATAAAATGTGAATATTATTGCTCTAAAAAAACATCTGTTTATTATGACTTTGTTTGATGGTGACTAAAATAAAACCAAGTATTTTTTTTTATATAGGAAGCTACTACCTTATTTATTAATACTATTTGATAATTAATAATTGAAATAGTGAGATCAGTAATATCAACATTTCTATTTGTTAGTGTGTATGCTGTGAAGGATTTTTTTTTATACTCTAAAGGATTTTGTTCTCTTGGAAATTTAATATTGATGGAAATGAGCTCTTTTTTTTTTTTTTTTGTACATGCTTAATTACCAGCATAGATTAAGATTCCATGATTACATCTAAATATGAATTTTGTGTTTACTTATAATTAAGATTAACATGTCAATGAGTTCAAACAATGATGCTGGATTCTTGCAAAATAAACAATGCAAATGTGGGAAAAAAACAGCAGTGTACATATCAGAATCAAAGAAAAATTCAGGGAGGTTGTATTTCAAGTGTGCAGATAAGATTTGTGACTACTATACGTGGGGAGCGGCTCCTACTGGAAATGCATCAAATATCCAAAGGAGAAGTAAAGCTATTCATATGAAGAATGAAGATGAGAGAGGGTATGATTATGATTTTGAGAGAAACAATGAAGTTATGAATAGATTGGAATGACTTGAGACAAACCAAGGAGCTATGAAATTCATTATGTTTACAACCATAGTGATGGTTTGTTTTACCATGCTAATGGTGCTGCTCAAGTGAATGTAATCACTACTTGTAGAACTTGTATTTGGGTTGTGAAGCTTACACTATGGGTTGTTATATGTGCATGTAAAATCCAAACAATACTTAATTAATGAAGTTACCTATGCTACGTAATTGTGTTGATTCTAAATCTTAGTTATTTGAGAATTGTAGATTCCACTTACCTTGGTACTTTTTTTCCAAACAGTTACAATCACCTTGCTATTTTTTGTCAATCCTCCTTGTGGCCTTTTATTTTTGCTAATCTTGCAACCAACTTTCTATTTTTTGTCTTTGGTACTTGATGTTGTTGCTATTTTAAGGAAATTAGGTACATTTATAATCGACTAAAGAAACAATTTCTTCACAAATGACTGCAAATTTGGTACAACTAAGTTATGGTTGATAGGGAGGCCCCTACCAGAGTGTAATGATGTTACAACTAAGTCTGCCAAATGAAAATGGAGTCAAATTTTGTGTTAGACAATTCATCCTCAAAGAGTATGTCATGTTTTGATGACTAAGAAAATGATATATGAATATTTACCTATGCTAGGGCAAAATTGTAGCACATCCTAGTACATTCATACAGTATTTCTTGAACATAACCATTTGACACTATCTTACCATCACAACCCTGCTATCAAATTAAGCAAAGCAAAACACAACACAAAAGAAGCATTATTTGCATTGGCTCCATAATAAAAAATCACTAACTTGTATGGAAAGTTACTTCATTCACAAGAGGTCCATTGAAAAAAAATGGGCTGCACCTTTGCAAGAAATACAAATAATACAACCTGAAAACACATAAATATCCATTTTGGTTGAAAGTCTTGTGATACAAGTTTGTCAATCAATCCATGATAATAATGTCAATCATAACAAACATAACATAGTATATACCCATTTTCCTTTTGAAACATTGTTCTCATTGCAAAAAATAACATCAACAAAGACCGAAAACAAAAAACAAAAACAAAAAACCCAAATCTGAAAACATAACATCATCATTCAGTGCAAGCCTTGACGTCATACCCACGTATATCTTTCACACTTTCAGCCCTTGCTTTTTTAGTCCATCGTTTCAGTATATATTGTGCAGGAAGGTCCCTTGCATTGCATATATCTCTAAGCACCTTCAGACAATGTCGACACAATATGCCTTTCACTTCAAACTTCTTGCAACTACAACTCAAAGAACCATCTCTATCCATTCTTACATTCTTATCTTGTTTTTCATCTTCCACCGTTCTAATTGTGAATATGGTACTCTCACCATCATTAATAGTGCCTACAATGAACGCTTCAATGGACTGCACGTACTCATTTTGGAATTCCTCAAAAATTATTTTGGTGTAAATCCCTGCCACTTGCTTCAACATCAAAGTTGGAATTAAAACCCTCGGCAATTTTTGGGACAAATTATACTCAGCTTCCAATTCTTTATACCTCTTCTTATAGAGCACCCTCTCAAAATGCATGAAAAATTCCATCAAGTTATGATCACAATTGAGATAATCCTTCAAATATGCATTGAAGGATTTACTAAGTTGAATAGTACTCATTCCAGCTGCCCAAGAATTCATAATATATGGCCATCCCCATTTCTCCTTCACACCAAAAGTCTGCTCCAACCAATGATTGTTGCGTGCATCATACTTATCAAGCATTTGGTCCCATTGTATTTTGAATTCTTCTTCGTCATCAATGTCATGCATAAATTTTGCAAATACACCCTTCACCCCAATATCTTTGAAAAGAGAACTTACATGCTTCACAGCATTTTGCATCAAATGCCATGTGCAAAATCGGTGGCTTGTATCAGGCATGACAATTGGAATGGCCTTAGCCATCGCAGCATCTTGATCTGTGAAAATAATTTTTGGAGCTTTGTTTGACATTGCCTCTAGAAAAATTTGAAACAACCATGCAAATGATTCGGCAGTCTCATCATACATCAACGCTGCACCGAATATAACTGTTTCTCGATGATGATTAAATCCAGCAAATGTTCCAAAAGGTCTATACTTGTTATTTAATTTGTAAGTAGCGTCAAAGGTCACTACATCACCAAATTGAGCATAGTCCATTATCATTTGAGTATCGGCCCAAAATATGTTACTTATCTGCTCTTCACAATCTAATTGGACTGCATAATAAAAGGATGGATTTTCCACAGTTTTCTTACGAAAATACTGCAACATACTACCCATTTCTCCATATTCCAAATATTTTTGTCTCTTCGATCTCATGTAATTTTTTTGGTCCAATTTAGTGAAGCCAAGTGATGCTCTTCCACCAGATTCCCTACCAAATAGCTCATAAGCAGACCTAAGAGGAATTCCAGATTCTGAAGCCAATTCTACTTCAATTGCTTGGGTGGTAGATATTTTTCTTTGGGATGGCAAGTTATGAATGCACTCTTGAGGCACAAGGTCATGATTATGGTGTTCAACAAAATCACAAACAACATATTTTCCTAAATCAAATAAACTACAGATTGGTGTTAATTGGGCAGATATGTCAAAATGTGAATATCAAATGTCTTTAAAGATTGGAACTTTGTGATGACAACAGTTAAGTTTTACTTTTATGTGAAAACACCCAGCCCAATTCTGTGTGAAAATTCAGAGTCAGTTAGCAATTCAGTAATGGATAAAGTAAAACTATCAGGAACTTTAAAAATAATCTTGTCCTTCATCTTAGAATATTTCAACCAATGAAGTAATAAATTTAGCTTGTAACAATCAGAAATCAAGAGCCCCTCCTCAATCTTCGAAAAAAATCCAATTGCCAATTGGCACATTTTCATCAAAAATCAACAGCAGAACTGTATAGAAACAATCATATATACGTATATATGTATATAACAGCAAGAAATGAAACAGAGACTGAAATGTACCTCGTCATGGCTGCAATCTCGCCTTGCCGCCGTCGCGTCGCCCATCCTCTGTCCTTCGCCGTCGCGTCCCTCCGCCATCCGCTGTCCTTCGCCGTCCCGTCCCTCCGTTTGGCTCTGTCCTTCGCCGTCGCATCCCCCCGCCATCTCTCTCCGTCGTGTTCCTCCGTCTCTCTCAGTTCGTCTTTCCGCCGCTCTCTCTATCTCTCTTTGTCTCGCGTCTCTCAGTTCGAAATTGTTAGGGCTAAACACAGATGGAAGGGAAGAAACTGGAAAAAGGTCAAAAAAACACCCTTACGTAAAACGACGTCGTTTTGGATAGGGCGGCACGGAGGCCACAGAAAATGGCGGCAGATGATCTGTACTCCTCAGTCGCTACCAAACTTTCCTTTGTCATATGTACACAGCAAAGCAATACAAGTTACAACCCCACACTCTCTCTCTCTCTCTCTCTCTCTCTCTCCTCTCTCTACATTACCAACTAATTTTCTTCACTTCCCAATTCCCGCCTCTTTGCGGACATTTATAGTCTCTCTCTGTTTGCATATTGGTCTTATTGGTTTCATACAATTACACTCTTTGTCGCTTCAATTTTGTCCAGATTTGGAATTGTGATATCCGAAGAAGATTAGATACATACAGAAACAAAAACAAACAAACAAAAAAAAGCCACCCTATAAAGAATTAGGTGAGCAAGTTGGAACTACAGGTGACATTGCTCTATCTATATCATATCAGCATCATGGCTCATCACTATTTATACTCTGTTTTTCACAAATTTATACTGTTTTCCCCAATTTACTCGTGGCAATGGAACCAGAACAGCTACTCTCAGCGGCTTATCCCAAGAGCAAGAACAAGGCCACTACTAGGGTTTTATTGTCCTCGGCGAAATGGGTTCTCAAAATCACAATGTGGGTTGTCTTCATTGCGTGGGTTGTTCTTATGTTTATAGTGCCATCAGAGTTTGGGAGTGATGTATATGATGCAATGGTTGATTCTATAGATGGAACTCTTTATGGGACTACAGGTAACAACACATTACAAATTTTTACATAATACATTGTGTGTGGAATATGTTTGTATAAATGCCAAGAAATTCAAGATCCCCAAGTTCATTTCAACCCTATGCCTCTGTTTTGAACTCCCAAACCCTGACTAATTAATGTTTGTAACTATTGCAGGAGCAACTTTTTTGATAATGGGTGGCCCAATTCTCCTAATTGCATTTCTTGCAATTCCTTATCTTATTATCAACTCCAAGGAAGAGGAAGAGCAACTCCGAGAGTATGTGCTTCTTTGTGTGATTTCCATGAGTAGTGAATGTGTATGCTTATAATATGTTCCTTTTAATTCAATATAAGATAGATGGGCATGTGGGTAATTGGTTAAATGAAAATCTTTAACTTTGCTATAGGAAGAAGGATAAAAAAATCCCAAGATTCCGCTTAAAGACATTCCCGGTTCTCGTGGATGGACCTTTTGGGGTTGTTTCTGCAGCAGAGTTAATTGGGATACTGCTCTTTGTTGTGTTTGTTATCTGGGCTGTGTATGCTTATACTGTAGTCAACATCATCATGTTACCTTCTTATGGCGAAGAGACTGCTGAGGAACAAAGGTGCACTATTTAATAGCTACACTCCTTTTTAATAGCTACAAAGGTGAATTATATAGTTATATTGCTCCATTTTAATTTATATTATTGGTAGTACTTTTTTTTTTTATGTGCATTTCTTAACTCAAAGAGTTTGAAGTCCAAACACATCCACTATCTTAACAAAGGTCTTCTTCACTAAGTTTACTTCGTTCATGATGTTTCATTCCCACCCTTCCTTTGCTTCACCTTTCTACGTTTAGCTAACTTTTTGGCCCTTTCAAAAGAAAGATATCTTCACAAAATATCTGTCCTGTCCCTATAATCACTCCAAATCTATTTAATCTTACATGCTACCTATGTAAAGCTTCCTACATGAGATATTCTTTCTGTCTTTTGGTGGTTGGTCAGCCACGCAAAGGAGGGGTCTCTGTGGGCCTGTTAATATTTTTTGTTTGGTGTTTTATGAAATTTGTCTTTGATTGATCTGTTGTTTGGTCATGTCTGAAATTCTTCATAGATCCTAGTTAGATGCAATAGGCTAGACACTGTTAGAGCACCCCAAGTCCCAAAGGCAAAAGCTTGGTGTTGTTTGATAACTTTGTCAGTTTTACAAGTTTTTGTATTTTTTCAAAAGAAAAAAAACAAAAAGTAAAATCCTGTTTAGTGTACACAAATGTTTTGAAAATGAAAATAAAGAAACGTATTTGGTGAGTTGTCAGAGGTGGAGGGTTGACGTATGTGGTGGCCAGCCGCCATGGGGGGGTGGCCGGAGGTGGCCATCATCAGAGTTGCTGGCCAATGTGTTTCCACATGTCACCTACTGGCAGAGGATCGGCGGAAGGTGGCTGGAGGCTGTGACCGACCGGCCGCTAAAGCCCACCGTAGGTTGGCAAGAAGGTGGCCAGAGGTCTCCAATGGCAGGTGGTGACTAGAGGTGTTGGGGGGAGGGAGATGAGATTAAAACTTGTTTTGAAAGCATGTGAAAATACCTTTTTTTTTCATTTTAAAAAATTTTCAAAATTTTGAAATCAATTCTTTTTTCTTTTTTTTTAAATGAAAACAGTATACTAAACAAGTTTTTGTTTCCAGTTTTCAAAAAATAAATATGAAAACAAAATAGAAAAGAAATAGCGGCGTTACCGAACAACGCCAAGTTTTAGAAAATGAGCCGACCCTCCTTGCATATCTTGCTCTCCAGTACCCTCCCTCACGTGCGACCCCGTCTTGCACATGGAGATGCAAACATCACATTAGAACATAATGCAAATAAGGAACAAGTGCAAACGGAGAGACTTGAAACTAAGATCTCAACATGAGTTCCGATATCATGCTAGATGTAACACCCCGAAATAAAGACCATATATATATCTATCTCATAATAACCAATAAATAGCAACATAATTGAATTGCTAAGTTTTCATTAATCAGAGTTTGATATACAAAAGGTGACACATGCGATATATATTCATAAACAGTACATCCTGAATCTACAGCACGTGTTACGAGATAGTGAAAAGAAGTGAAAGCTAAATAGACAATCATATGTCCTAAAGACTTACATATTTCTAAGTTAGTGCTTGGGTACATCAAAAGTGAGTCTTAAGCTCAATACAAATAAAGCCCTAGGCTTGTACAAAATTAAATACAAAATAACAAAACCGAGCCTTCAGCTCCACAGTCCTCCCAAGCTAAGTCCTTGGTGGAGGTATATCACCAGCACCTGAAAATGATTTTCCCACATAGGGTGAGCCAAAACCCAGCAGAAATACTACAACACAATGTATAAATCTTAACAAAGTCATAAGGTTTTATGCATATGCAATGCCCATGTCAAAACGTTTTACATTTCTTTTCAAAAACAATGCCATACCCAGTTTATATCACACCTCTCAAAATCATGTCCTTCACAATAGAAAACAAGGGGGAATCTCAAACCAATACAACCTTTCAAGGATATTTCGTCCGTAGGAAACCGTCAAACGGCACCCATGTAAATATAGCGTATACAAGTGCTACTACTGCCATTTTGCGGATGTTTCATCCACAAGAACCGGCACCAATGTATACGTGCATTTTTCGGGACTTTCACCCTGGAGACACAAGCCAAACCTCTTTCCAACGTTCACCCCTTTTTCTCAAAATCATATACATTTTCAATATATTAAATAAGCAACAAAGTTCAATGTACATGAAAGAGAAATTAGTTTTAGTTCACCTAATTCTCATACAACTTCTACAACACTCATAGTTATCCTCCACCGATAGCCCAAAGCAGATATCTCTAAACAGATAAATAAGTTTTATTAAAGATGCACTTTTCCAAAATCTCAAGATAGGAGTGATAATACATATCCAACTCCACCCTCATTATTATCATTATTTCAATTTCACAATTTCCATATCAATTCCATTTTCTCGTTACCATCTCAAACATTCACATTTTTAGGCAAAAACCCTTTTCTCTTCGAAAATCAATTTTAATGTAGGAAATATCTCATTTCAACATATATCAACTCCAATTTCTTACCCACAAGCTTTTTCAAGAAACCATTTGAAAACCCCTCTTTTTCATTTTAATTTCAAACCCTAGGTTTCATCAAAAAAAAATCTCAAACCACTATAATCCTTTGAAATAGCAAATAACTAAGGTAAAACTCATACAAAAGTGTGAAGAATCCCTACCTCAAGCTTAGAAGAGGAAGAAAGAAGAAAAGCCCAAAAGTTGACGGTGATGAAATAACGATTTGCTTCGATCAAAACGAAGCCCTCAACAAGCTCAAAGGAGCAAAGTGAGGAGATGCTTCTAAGTGAGTAGATCCGAAGATCTTTGAGCGAAAAAGTGAGTTTAGAGAGAGAGAAGAGTGACTCGCGGTTTAGAGAGGGGAAAGAGAAGATAAAGTGAAGAAAAGGGTAAGCGAGGGCCCTATTTATAGTGCTAGGTTAAAGCGAAATAAAGTCTTAAAGTCAACCTAAAAGAACAAGTCAAAATCCCCAAGAAGTAGGGCTCAAAACTGAACTAAAATATGGAAAAAACTCACAGAGGTCAACCCTTATGTCGTTGGTGTCGACCCTTCAGGAAGAATTGACAACAATTGACAATGCTGGCAGCAGACAAGGTGTCGACCCTTGGACCAAAGGTATTAATACTAAATTTCAGCAAATAAACCCAGATTTTACAGTAGACAAGGGTCGACCCTTCCCAGACTGGTGTCGACCCTTGAGGCCAACAATAAAAGACAAGTGTAGACACCACCAAGGCTGGTGTCGACCCTAAATTTCGGTAGCTATTCCAAGAACATAGCAGTAAGATGGTGTCGACACTTCCAAAGTTGGTGTCGACCCTAGGAGCATAACAAGACAAAGAAAAGGAGGCAGTGTCGACACCAACAAGGATAGTGTCAACCTGTGAAGCCAAAACCAAACATAAAGAGAAAGGAACGACCATCACGAATATGGTTTCCCGGATTCAAAAGTAGTAAATGGGTCGGGTTTAAATCAAGATCGCTATATTAAAGCACTACAAGTCTAAAAAACTTTGGCCTTAGGAGAGGGTCAAACAATGCATATCAAGCTCTCCATAATATACAAATCCTTAATTCAGTAGTGGGTACTTTGGCTGATGGTCTTGTACATTGCCAAAATGCAGTCCTTTACTAAATTTTACGACTCAGTTTGAAGTTAAGTCCACAAACAGATTTTTGAATTTTTCTGATGGTATATTTCCAAATTGAAGTCTAATTCCATATACATGTAGAATTTCATCCGACCGAATCCCTCAAAAGTGTGTAGTTTCCATTTCTGCATGTCAAGTCACAATGAGCAGCTTATCCAGTATTTTTCCTTTTGAAGTGAATGTTAATAGGAATATTGCTTTTGCTTTGTATGTTCTATTCTAGTCCTCATATGAGGGGAAACTGATTTTATTTCCTGGGATAGTGTCCAAAATATAAAGAAAAATATAAACTTGGACAAGAAGCCTATTGAGATTGGGATTCTATTGGACTAGTAAATTTTGGCCACTTGTATGATCTACTTATCACTTGTTGGGCTTTCAATAGCTTCAGGTAGAGTTTCATTGCGAGTCATTGCACACCTGGGCGCTGCTCAGTTATTCCAGCCAGTGGCTATGCATTTAATGCCACATGATATTTTCCTCAATAAATTTTCTTCTAATGCCCATTTGATTTTCTAGAATTCAAATGTCCCACTCTTGCCCTGTTTCCCACAAGCTTTATGTTTCTAAAGAAATGTTTAGATTTTTTTGCTCTTCCTTTCTTGTTTTGTCCTTTTTTTTGTATTCTTTTTTTCTTTTCCTTAATTTCAGGTGTCTAGATACACATTATTTTAGCTAGCCCTCGGCAGTTATATATCAGTACAGAATTAGCGAGTCTTTCAAACCTTTATTTTTGCTTTTCTATCCTATGGCTTTGCAGTGGGTGTGCATGAAAGATAATTTTATCTTTGGTGTGACATTGTTTTCATTATCAAAATAATTGCGGTAACTTGAATACTTTGAACTCTTCAGGATCATAATGGTGCGAATGACGGCATATATTTTTGGTTTGACTGCCTTATCTTGCTTGGCCTTTTTGTTTCTTCCAATTGCAAGGGGCTCAATCCTTCTTCGTCTTATTAACATACCATTCGAGCATGCTGTCAGATATCACATTTGGTTGGGAAATCTCATAATGTTCATCCTTACTCTTCATGGATTAACTTATTTTGCTGAATGGATAATGAGGGGTGATTTCCTAACCCAAGTAAGTTCTCATTCTGAAATTTAATTTGCTATATGCACTTTCATAGTGTGTAATATGTGTGCATACATGTGTGTTTCTCAACCTACCTATTTTCTTCTTTCTTGTTGAAAGATACAAATTCCTGTTAGTATAAGTTGTCCTCTCAATAAGAATTTTTTTGTTATTTGTTCTAAAACATGGAAGAGCAGCTAGTTACAAAGAAAGGCCAATAGGGACCGAAATGGATAAATAGTGATAAAATTCGTGCTGCAGTGGCAAAGTTTGGCAAAAGTATATATGTAATAATAATAATAATAAACTGTTCCTTTCAAGGATGAATTTGGTCAGTCTGAAACACAATTTCGGTTGAATTTCAAAAACAAAAATATAAATGACGTAGATTTGGACATTTTTGGAAATATCAATAAATTTAATAATTAAAAAAAAGACACAAAACAAAAAATTAAACAAATTGTAGATGCATTTAATGGCCCAAGATATGAAAGTGGTTGAATGGGACCTGATATACCCATCCTCAAGGCTAGACAAAAATGTAAAAGTAATGGAGAACTTAGGGAAGAGTAAGTGCAAAGGATAATTATGCAGCATGGACACTTATATGGAGGAAATGCGTAGTATGTGTTGGAACTACACAGACCTGGTTTTGACACGCTTCTACATGTATTGGAAATGTTGCAAATGTTTTGAGACTTTTAGCAGTGTATTGTAATTTTTGAACACCCATGATTTCAACTTGGCAAGCTGTATCTGCGGCGATGGCATTGTAATACAGCTGATAATTCTACATAAACAGAAACTGAAAAGAAATCTAGGTGTCATTGTGACATTGAAGATTGACATAATCCTTAAATACTGATTCCCACCATCAACTACAGCTACGCTAGGATTTGACTAGGTTGGCCTTACATAAGGATTATATTGCCCTTTTTTATTGCTTTTGAAGCTTTCCACCCATGTACATACATTGGACAATTGAAGATAAATATTGCAGCAAAAATTTTATTATGCTTAACAGAATTTCATCATACGAGACTCATGAAGAGTCAATGTCAACCATGGTGACAATAGTCTCACCAATCTGTATGTCAAATACACAACCTTTTTTTAGCTCTAACGCATCAAATAACAAAATTTTTACGGAGTGCATTAGTTCCCTGTAAATCAACAATGGCAAACAAAAAATGCAAAACTGGAAAATCTTTAACGTGCGTCTCATCTTTCCTAGCACATCATCAGTGCATCTTCACTTACTATAGCCTTCTTCTGGCTCAGGAAAGAAAAAAGAAAAAAAAAAAAAAAACTATGGTGTTTTTTGTATAGTCTCATGTACCTCTTAAATCTGCTTCAATTGCTTGCAAATTACAGTTATATAAGGCTGAATTCAGTCCTATTGTTGAGAGTTTAACTTCGAATTACTATAGAGACAACTCCTTTCAAGAAAGAAAGGAATGAATTCTGAATCCTATTAAGTTGGGACAGAATTATGCATGATTCTTGTGAACCAAATTCTATCAAATCTTGTTGTCTTGGTCAACCATGTCTATTTTTCATTCTTCATTAGGCTGTGTTTGGAACATAGATTTGGGTAGGGATTTGGGATGGGAAAGGAAAAGATGAGAATGGAGAAAATTTTAATTTATATTTCATTCACAGTTTCCTTGCCGTTTCTAAATCTCTACCCAAATCCATGATGCAAACACAGCCTAAATAAGATACATAAAACTGTCATTCCATATAAAAAGAACCATTTTAAGAAATGACATAAGGTCAAAGGAAGATCCTGATGCTGCTCTAATTTTTGCTATTTTGTTTCTCCATGCAGTTACTTGAATGGAGAAGTGATGCCGGTGCCAATTTTGCGGGAGTTATCTGCTATTCGTTTTTTTTAGTGATGTGGGTGACATCACTTCCTCCTGTGAGGAGGAGATATTTCGAACTGTTTCTCTACGCCCATCAACTCTACATACTCTTTATCATCTTTATGGCATTGCATATTGGACAAACCTATTTCAGCAAAGCCGCTGCTGGAATTTTTCTATTCATGCTTGATCGCTTTCTAAGATTCTGGCAATCAAGAAGGGCTGTCAACGTAACATCGGTCACTTGCTTTCCCTGTGGAACAGTGCAAATTGTCCTTTCAAAACCTGCAAGTAATAATAGACTTCACTTGTTAATCATGTAGGGTTAAATATGCAAATGGTCCCCAAAGTATGCACCCTATGTTATTTTGGTCCCTAATGTTTCAAATGATGTGTCAGTTTGGTCCCCAACCTATTAATTTTGTTATTAAATAGTCGCTACCTCCATTTCCGTCTACAATTGAGAACAGAAGTAAAGGCATTTTTGTCAAACCACCTATGAGATAAGGCATTAGACTCAGCTTCAGCAGAAGCTCAGACACAGCGGCTGCAAGTGCATGCTATCATTGTGTAGGACTGATATAGATTAGTTTAACTCATGTAACAAGAATTAGTTAGAGTGAGTCGGTTGAGCTGTTAGTGAGAGCAAGTGTGTGCTAGTATATGTTATGTATATAAATATATCTCAGATGTAATACAGGTTAATCAATCAAGGAATACATTGAATACATTTCAGCTTTTCTTTACTATGACACTAAATAAGTTGGGGACTAAATTGACGCAATTGAAACATAAGGAACCAAAATGAAACAAATCACATACTTTGGGGACTATTTTTTTTTTCTCGTTTTGCTTATGTGTAGATGTGGTTTGACAAAAATGCCCTTACTTCCGTTATCAATTACAGACAGAAACAGAGGTGGGGACCATTTAGTGACAATTAATAGGTTGGGAACCAAATTGACACATTTGAAACATCAAACACCAAATGTCACAGGACGCATACTTTGGGGACCATTTGTGTATTTAACCCAATCATTTACTTTTAGCATTTTCTAAACCTGCGTTGATCTGGATTCCTCTTTGGCAATGCAGATCTGCAGTACAATGCCCTCGGTTTTATTTTCCTTCAAGTTCAGGAGTTATGGACTAACCCCGACATCAGAGAAGGTAGCTTTTGGCTTTAAACCTCTCCCAGTGAAAACCTATCGAGTTTACTGGCTGATCAGTGAATATGACATCTTGAACTGTTCTGCCGTTTATGTAAACTGAGATAATAGATCTCACACAGGAATTACTCCTACCACTATTCTGTTCTCACTGGTGTGCCCTGTGTGGCCCTGGACACTAGCCTGGTTCAGCGAGTGGTTTTAAAGAATCTTGGCCTCCCAATTCTTTTAGAAGCGGCCCCACTTCACACTCACATAGGTGACTCTACTTGAGTATCCTGCTATACTCAGCTCAATAGCTTAACACACTAGAGTCATTAAAAGCTCAGCTTAACCTCTACACTTGCAGGTATCACTGATAGAAGGAATGGCTGGAGGTTTAACCTCCTCAGTGACATACCACCATTACACACAATTAGGTTGTCCCATTGAACCTAGATCTTGGGATCTCCAGTCAACTAGGTTCATTCTGGTAACTTCCAAAGGCCTCAACCCTATTCCTTTTAACGACGTTTCGACTAACACTCGATTTAACCCTTTGGTTAGCGGATCCGCAATGTTGTCCTTAGATTTTACATAGTCTATAGAGACAACTCCATTCGAGAGTAGTTGTCGTATGGAATTATGTCTACGACGGATATCTCTAGACTTTCCATTATACATATTACTCTGTGCCCTACCAATTGCAGATTGACTATCACAATGAATACAAATAGCAGGCACAGGTTTGGACCAACTTGGAATATCTTCAAGGAAATGGCAAAGCCATTCAGCTTCTTCCATTGCTTTATCCAAAGCAATAAACTCTGATTCCATCGTTGATCTAGATATACACGTTTGTTTGGAAGATTCCAAAGACACCGCTGCTCCACCAAGAGTGAACACATATCCACTAGTGGACTTTGAGTCCTTTATATCTGATATCCAATTTGCGTCACTATAGCCTTCAAGCACCGCTGGATATCGAGTATAATGCAGCCCATAATCCCGAGTGTAGCGTAAATACCTTAACACCCGCACAATACCCTTCCAATGAGAAGCATCGGAGATTACTTGTGTATCTACTAAGCCTGCTAACCGAGTAAGCTATATCCGGCCTAGTACAACTCATCAGATACATTAAACTTCCAATTACCCGAGAATATTCTAACTGTGAGACACTTTCATTATTATTCTTGGTAAAATGTAGACTTAAGTCTACAGGTGTCGATGACACACTCGTATCTGATCCACTAAACTTCTCAAGTATCTTATCAACATAATGAGACTGAGATAGTACAATTTCATCAGAGATTCTGGTAATCTTAATTTCCACTGCAATGCCCATATCCTTCATGTCAAACTTAGAGGTTAACAACTTCTTGGTAGTTTTGATCATTTCATTGTTACTACCTATAATGAGCATATCATCAACATATAGACACAAAATGACATAACCTCTGTCAGTGTCTTTGACATAAACACACTTGTCACATCCGTTGATTCTAAACCCATTTGACAACATTGCGTTGTCAAACTTCTCATGCCATTGTTTAGGCGCTTGCTTCAAACCATACAAAGATTTGACAAGTTTACAAACTTTCCTGTTTTGTCCTGGAGCTGAAACTCCTTCAGGTTGCTCCATGTAGATTTCTTCATTCAAATCTCCATTTAAGAAAGCTGTCTTTACATCCATCTGGTGAATTTCTAGATTGCGCAAAGCAGCAATCGCAATCACCATCCAAATGGATGTTATCCTAGTAACAGGTGAGTACGTATCAAAGTAATCCAGGCCTTCTCGTTGCCTGTACCCTTTGATAACGAGCCTCACTTTATACTTGTCAATTGACCCATCGACCTTCATCTTTCTTTTAAAAATCCATTTGCAGCCTAAAGGCTTGCAATCTGGAGGTAAATCTACCAACTCCCAGGTGTGGTTTTGTAAGATGGAGTCAATCTCACTTTTGATCGCTTCTTTCCATAATGGACTCTCAGGAGAAGTCACAGCTTCGTGGAAAGTTTGAGGTTCGTTCTCAACCATATAAGTCAAGAAGTCTGGACCAAAAGATTTGGATATCCTAACCCTTTTACTCCTTCTGGGCTCATCTAAAACCTCAATTTGATCATCACCTAGATCATCAATATGATCATCCTCACTAGCAAGCTCATCAAATTGCTCCAAAGACCTTGGAACCCCTGCATA